TACGCTAGCGGAGTCATTTCTGAACGACTTGCAGGAGCTGGACGATCCCGAGGAGGAGCAGCAGCAGGGAGCAGCAGCAGCAGCAGCAGCAGCAGCAGCAGCAGCAAACCCAGAAGACGATGAAACAGAACCTATCATTGATGCTGTTGCGGTGTATATGCAGCAAAAGAGCGGCAGCAACTCTGCTGCTGTTGTTTCCAGCCTCAGCCAACAACCCAGATTCATACGCCTTCTTGAGGTCCTGCTGCTGCTGCTGCTGCTGCTGCTGCTGCTCGTGGTGTTGATGCTGCTGCTGCTGCTGTTGCTGCTCGTTGTCTTGCTGCTCGTGGTGTTGATGCTGCTGCTGCTGCTGCTCGTGGTGTTGATGCTGCTGTTGCTGCTGCTACTCTTGTTGTTGCTGCTGCTGCTCGTGGTGTTGATGCTGCTGTTGCTGCTGCTGCTGTTGGTCGTGGTGCTGCTTCGGTTGCTGTTGCTGCTGCTGCTGCTGCTCGAGTTGCTGCTGCTGCTGCTGTCGTCGTTGTTGCTGCTGTTGTGATTCTTGCTGCTGCCGCTTTTGTTGCTGCTGTAGTAGTTGTTGCTGTTATTGCTGCTGCTACTATGCCTGCTGCTGCTGCTGCTGTTGCTGCTGCTGCTGCTGCTGCTGCAGTGGCTGCTGCTGTGGTTGCTGCTGTTGGTTTGTACGTCTGTGTTGTTTGCTGCTGTTGCAGCTGCGTTTTGATGTTCAAACTGCTGCGTGTGTTGCTGCTGCTGCTGCTGCTGTTGCTGCTGCTGCTGCTGCTGCTGCTGTTGCTGCTGCTGCTGCTGCTGCTGCTGCTGCAGCAAGCGAGAGAACTGACGCCGCAGGCTGCTGTTGCTAGCGGTGAAGAATTGGCGTTGATAGAAGAATGCAACCAACTTGTTATAGATATAGACACAGAGTATGTTTGCTGCTGCTGCTGCTGCTGCTGCTGCTGCTGCTGTTGCTGCTGCTGCTGCTGGTGATGATGATGTTGCTGCTGCTCGTGATGGTGTTGTTGCTGCTGCTGCTGCTGCTGCTGGTGGTGATAGTGATGATGTTGCTGCTGCTGTTGCTGCTGCTGCTGGTGATGGTGTTGCTGGTTGTGCCAGTGATGTTGCTGCTGCGGGTCTTGCTGCTGATGCTGCTGCTGGGGATGTTGCTGCTGCTGCTGCTGCTGCTGCTGCTCCATCTGCAGCAGCAGCAGCAGCAGCAGCAGCAGGCTGTATTATTATATTGTTATTGAAATAATTTTTGTTTTCTCTGCTTGTGCTGCTGCTGCGTCTGCTGCTGCTGCTGCTCCTCCCCCTGCTGCTGCTGCTGCTCCTCCTCCTCCTCCCTTCTCCTTTTGCTGCTGCTGCTGTTGCTGCTGCTGCTGCTGCTGCTGTTGCTGCTGTTGCTGCTGCAGCATATTGGCAGTGCACGGGTTTATAAGAGATATTTATAGTGTGAAGTTTCCTGAATTAGAATCTATAGTACAGACACCACTCGAATATATTGCTGTGGTGCAGAGAATACAGAACCAAACAGTAAGAATATATATATTTATTTTTTATTTTTTTATTTTTATTTTTTTATTTATTTTTATGTTTATATTCTTTCTAGTTATATTTATTTTATTTAGTTTTGATGTATTATATTGATTATATAAACCCTTTATTTTTATTTTATTTATATAAATATATATATTGCTGTGGTGCAGAGAATACAGAACCAAACAGTAAGAATATATATATTTATTTTTTATTTTTTT